TTTTATTGCGTCTGCTATAAATTTCATTCATAATAAGAACACCAAACTAGCTTTCCCTAACCTAAAAGTGTCTTGTCTTCTGAGTGACCAGGTCCGAAGTTTCATTTCTTTGATAAAAACAACAACTTGCTAAAGCTTCCGTTAGTTTCACTTACGTTAGAGCTCTAGGACGCAAACATTTCCAATCATTAATTATTAATGGGTAATTTGGAATTATTATTACTGTCTAAAATTTCCTGAGCATATATTTTGGAGCCATTAATTCCTAACTGGCAATGTAAATCATTGCTTCTAAAGATGATAAATTATCAGAAACTTTATTACCTATTTTTGACTAATTTCCAAGCACAGAATTCTTAGCCCAGATGTCACAGGCATGTAGCCTCCCTTCTCTCTCATATTACCTTTATTTAATAACTCATGTAAATAAAATAACACTGATTATAAATATGCCTGAAGTTGTTTTATATAACATTAAAATATTTTATATAATATTAAAAAGTACTGTCATTCACACCAACAGCAGAATTATCATTTGTTTCTATGCTCACTGGAGTACCAACCTCTTTAGATAGGTAGCCCTATACATGATATGCTCTAATATCATTAAAAGTAAAACCTTTGACTTTTTAATAACATGGCCATACGAGTCCTTGAAAGTAAATAACTTCTAAATATAGACACCTGAAGTAAATTTTGGGGCAAACAATTTGTCTGCAACCCAAAACACTCAAATACAAAAATATCTACAAGATGATCATTTATTTACATTAAATAACAAAAGTTGGATATCAGATCTGCCTTATTTTGCCAGGATTATAATTCTTGTCAATAAACATATCCTTAAGAAACATATGGAGGCACTTCTCATTCTGAGAGAGAGGATGACCTGCAACTCTGGGAAAAAAAGTAATTCATATGTGAATGAATACAGAGGGGAATTATCATCAAGAAAACAAATATAAGCTTTCTCTGAAGGAGCACTCTGACCTCAATTTATCAATAACAAATATCATTTACTATACTCAAGTTCAGGCCCTCACTATTACTAAATAAGAAATATAAAGGAATATGCTGCTAGTAGTTTGTATTTGTGAAATCAAATTATCTTTGTCAATGTAATTTAGAGTTGTTATTGCCCAAGCCACTTCTTGGCTATCACAGCTCTACCCACAAAAAGGACCTTTCTTGTGAAAGTCTTTTGAAGATACAGCACCAAAGATGTAGGGCAGTAAAAAGTACCACAGGTAGAATATAAAGTACAAAACTGTATACTTCACATTAATAGACACTATTTAAGTACAGTCAACTATTAGCTGTAATCTTCTTATAAATTTTTTATTTCCACAAATTGATAAATATAATGATCATAAAATAAAAATAGAAATGTAAATACATCATACGCTAATTTTTTTTTTTTCATCTAATCCTTAAACTTTCTTTGACTGAAAGACATTTGTGATTAAAGTAAAAACTTGTGCAAAAAATTTATATCTACATCATCATTGCACTCTCGCCTTCCACACTCCTAACATATCAAGATATAATAACTGAGAGCCCAAGAAAGGTACTATGCTTAACCCAAATGGTCTGGATGGCAAGCATACATACCATGCCCACTGAAATACTAGTTAATTAATTATCATTATACAAAGATGGCTCTACAAGTACTTATCACCAAGGAGTCAATTATTAGTCCAATCTATCCCACCTGTTTCCCTTTTCCTTGATCTTTGGAAAGCTTCTTTTCTATCATTTTATTTCATTTATTGTTATTAGTCTGTTAATAATATAATAAAAATAACAACAGTATCAATATTCATAGTATTAGGAGGGAATACACATTTCCTCAAAAATCCAAGGAGGGGGAAATCAGGCGCCATCACTAGAGCCTCCTAATTGACTAACTGGCACTTGAGGAATCATCTGTATGCAACAAAGTTCGCAACTACTGTGGACAATACATAAACCTAAGGCAAATGGGGTAATACATACTCTGGGTAAAAATGCCTGCATCCAGCTAAAAATGCCATTCAGATAAAAATAATCTTTAGTCAAAATCATTAAGCATAATACCCGAAAATCAGACGAAACTTCTGTTTTGACTTACTTATTAATGAAAACTTCTAATCCTTTGCGTCGATCTTCAATAAATTCTTCCTCATAAATGCCGTCATCCCCTCGGAATGGCAACTGACGTTTTAGCGCTTTCCCAGGAAGGGGTGGAACAACAATCTGACAAAAGATCATCGCAAGTCGTAAAACAATAAAATACAAATAAATTAATCAAATAAAATAATGATAATAATAATAATAATAAATAATAATAATAATAATCACATACCAAAAAAAATCTGTGTACAGCTTTACAAAACAACTAATCTAGTAAATAGGAATAACTTACCTTGCTGTCTCTTTCAAGTTCGTTTCTTAGCCATTCAAAGTCACTGTACCTCCTCCTTACACTCGATTCCTTTACCTTAAAAACTGGCAGATTTGT